CGGGAGAAGCGTTCAGACAAACGTTCAGGGGCGTGACGAAAAAGTCGGAGGCCAGTTATGCGGAGTTCGCATACGAACTTCGGTCGTACCTTGTAGAGTGGATGAAGGTTGCCGAGTCGTATGACGACAAAGAGAAAATGCAGGAGACGGTCGCGCTCGAACAGTTCTATAAGACTCTCGCTGAAAGCATTCGAACCTGGATTCAAGATAAGTCAGGAGTAAACTCTGTTTATCGAGCCGCAGACCTTGCGGATGAGTACAGTTCCCGTAGAGGCGGAAAAGAGGGAATGAGGGGAGTCTTTCAGAAAGAAAGCGGAGATGAGCGAAAAAAGGGGGCTGGAAAAGAACAGAGTCGCGAAAGGAGGAAGACAAGGAACAGAATATCTCCACGACCTCCCGGGGCAACGGGCCAGACAGTCGGCAAAAGAAGAAACCCTTTGAGGCCAGGAGGCCGATAAGGTGCTTCAATTGCCACGAAACTGGGCACATTGCCGCGGGATGTCAAAAACCGAAGTTGGTTTTCGCCTTAGCGAGTAAGTGCGAGGAGAATGAGGAGCTCATGAGTACGTATCTTTTCGACATGACAGTGAACGGAAAGTCGTGCCGCGTGCTGCGCGACGGTGGGGCTACCATTGACCTAATTCACCCGTCGTACGTTACCGAGACCCATTACAATTGGAAATGTAGCTGGATCAAATCGGTGCTGGACGAGGGGAGCGTGTGTCTCCCTGTGGCCGATGTTCTGATTTCTGGACCTTCCGGAAGGGTGCGTACTGAGGCGGCTGTTTCAGACAAACTGCCGCCACAGTACCCCTACCTATCTTCGAACCGGACAGGATTTCGAAAGAACAGGGCAAGAGCCTCGGGGAGGGACTCGTTCAAGCGCTCACGAGGGCTAAAGCTCGCGAGATTTCAACGCGGCTCAGTTATGGCTAGCCCAGGGAAACCGAAAGATCCGCCGACGGGGGTCTCGGAGTGAGCCCCGAGTCTTTACAACACTAAGTAAGGTGGCACAGATGATGAGAGTCTATTGGTGTGCCACACGTCGAAAATCTGCGGTTCCTCGGCCACGACGTGAACCCTGGCTGAAGAAGGACCTGGGCCTGGTGCCGCTCGTCCTTGCCGCTTTTCCTTGCGACGGAAACCCTGGCCGCGGGCTTGGCTGGAACCCGTGCTTGAACCAGGCTGCTGCTGCTGGCCGCCGCTCGTCCTCCCCCCTTGGCAGACACGTGCGAGGTGCCCAGTTCTCCCGCACGTGAAGCATTGTGCTTGGGCGAACTGGCACTGTGAGGGGGAGTGGGCAGTACCGCAGCGGCTGCAGGCACTGCTCCTTGCCGCCATCTTGTTCACCGCAGCTTCCGTTGACGGTGAGCCGGCCGCACGCGCAATCTCGCTGGCGTCCTTAGCTGCTGCTTTCATCGCCTGCGCTGCCTTCACCGCGTCGTCCAGCCAGGGGTCGGGGAGCTCCAGGAGTCGCGTCTGCAAGGCGGGGTTGTTGATGCCGCAGACGAACCGGTCCCGGAGTAGCGAGTCGAACTGGTCGCCGAAGGCGGATGTGTTTGCTGACCCCCGTAGCGCAGCGACGAACTGCCCGAGGGTCTCCCCGTCCCGGCGGCTCCGGTTGTTGAAGCGGAACCGCTCCATAAGCGTGGACGGTGCCGGGCTGAAGTGCGAGCGCAGCGTGGCGAGCAGCTCACCCAGCGTTTTGACGTGCGGCGTGGCCGGCTTGTGGAGGTCGAGCAGGAGGCTGAAGACGCGGGTCCCGCACCTGACCAAGAAGATGTCCCGCTGCTTCGCCTCAGGCGTGTCGTTTGCCCGGAAGAACACGTGGATTCGTTCTTCGTAGACTGATCAGGCGGACCCATCTTCCTCAAACGGCTCGAGCCTCCCGTACAGCGGCATGGCGACAGGAGCGGGTGGCGGTGTTCCGTCTCTCTGGGCGGCGTGGGCCGAATCGTGCACGTTGGTGGCCTCCAGTGCCACCGTTCGTCGTCTGACCACGGTTCCTCGTGACTGGAGGCACTACCAGTAACCAGTCCATCGGCAAGCGCGACAACACCCATGTCTGAATTTGTATTTGAATCCACAGGCACCGCTAAACTCATTGAGAACCTTAAAATGTATTCATCAGCAGGCATGTATAAAGTAAATGCAAAAATTAATAAAAAAAACACGAAAGACCTAGTCAGCGTGATATTAGCTAAAATATTTTCACAATCTTTTTCAAGTAGTCTTCAGCCTGATGAATCGAAAGTGGCAAAGATTGCCCGATTTTCAAAAATGGCGAGAAAAATCCCCATTTAACTATCGACCCATCTCCCTAACAAGCGTTTTATGCAAAGTAATGGAACATACTCTCTACACCAACATCATTCAATTTCTGTCAGACAACTCTTTCATCAACCCATCCCAGCACAGCTTTTGAAAAGATTTTTCATGTGAATTTCAACTTGCATCGTTTACTTATGACATAAATGTTAACTTTGATTCAAACATTCAAACTGACGCTATCTTTCTGGACTTTGCCAAAGCATCTGATAACGTTCCTCGTAGTCGACTCATATACAAGCTTTCTAAACTCAACTTAGATTCCTCGATTCTGAACTAGATCATTCACTTATTAACTAATAGACAGCAACTTGTTACTGCTAACCAGTCATCATCTTTTCTTGTTTCAGTCACTTCAGGCGTTCGCCAAGGACCGGTCCTCGGACCACTTTTATTTTTAATATACATTAATGACGTGCCAATATCAATAACATCGCATGTTCGTCTCTACGCTGACGACTGTGTCTCCTATCGCCAAGTGACTAACCCATCAGGTCACCTACTCATCCAAGATGACCTCAACCGCATCCAAGCATGGTGCAATACATGGCATATGCGTCTCAACGTCCATAAGTGCAAGCTTGTGTCTTTTACACGTCGCCTCTAAACCCTCAATCGTTTCCTACTCCCTTAACAGCGTTCCTTTGGAAAAAAACTAATTTTTACAAGTATGTCGGAGTTTATCTTACCTCCGATCTTTCCTGGGCCACTCATATCAGTCACACCATATCCTCTGCTAATCGCTCTTTAGGTTTTTTGAGGCGCAACTTAAAACTTGCCCTTCCTCACATATAACAACTTGCTTAATCATCCCTTATCCGCCCTAAACTGGAATACGCAACTGCTATCTAGGATTCGCACCAATCCTACCTCATCAATAACATCGAATCAGTTCAGGGTTGAGCATTACATTTTATTCACTCAGATTTTTATTTTTTACCAGCGTCACATCTCTTCGAGCCCGTGCCAACCTCCCCCTCCTCTCTGGACGCCGCCATTTAGCTAGGTTATCTCTTTTCCACAATTTTTTTTCACAGCTCGTGCCTCCTATTATTATACATCTTTCTTTTTGTACGCCGCAACCGTCGCACGGGTCACAATCTCGATGTACAGCGTCCAAAGGCAAGAACCATCACATTTCAGAACTCATTTTGTTTTTCACGTACAGCCTTTCATTGGAACGGGCTCTCCCAGAACATTGTAACTACTGATGACTGATTAGAATTTAAAGAAAACGTGCAATCACGTTCGAGGTATATTTGGTGTTTTTTTTTTGTGTTTGCATACTAATCTTTTTTGGCGATTTTTGTTTTATTTTACATGCAAATTTGCTTTTGTGACATTGTACCATTCCTTTTTGATGTTTGTTTTATGCCACCCCTTATGTAATGTCCCCTATGGGGTCCTAAGGTATTGCATAAAATAAAGATATACAGAAATATATTTTTTTCCCGCAAAAAATTTGTGAGGTTCGAATACTTTGTTCAACGAATGAATTTAAACCCGCAGAAAAACAACAACACGGATTAGAAAGAAAATCCGTACGAAACGACTAAAGTTTTTTTTTGTTTTTTTACTTTTTAAGTCCGCTGGGTCGGATGTATTAAAACCCTAACCAGTAGAGCAACAGTCGTCGTAGGGCCTTTTCACTGAGAAGGCAATAAAGAGAGAGAGATCTACGATACGTTTTTTATTTAGTCATTTGGCGCCTGTACTTGCTTTAGTATGCATACGCCAGAGCTTAAAAAGTATACATATATAGAATATGCGTGTATCATGACATGCTACCTTATTTTAATTTCGAAATTTTGTTTCTGTATAGACCAAGTTTCAGTGCAAATTTTATTGTATGCCACAACAATCTTTTGAATATAATGTCTTGTATAATTTGTGTCTCTTCGTGTTGGTCAACTATTTTTTTTTCTTGAGGGAGGGGAGGGGAAAGGTATTTCATCCCTTTACTAATGCTCCAACTAGCCCAGCATAGTCATTTTTTTGCTTTATATCAGGTTTTTACGCCTGGATAAACATTTATTTTTGATCCTTTGGGGAATTTCAACCCCTGAATCAAATTGTTAGATTTCGCGCCACTGGGGAAAGAAATATACGATACATAATCCCTTCCCTTCAGCAACTCTGATTATAAAATGATGAAGTAGTATATGTTCAACTGCCTTACATATTTTCTAAACCGCCACTTTCCTAATTAAAATTGGTAGATCTTTCCAATATAGTTATTTACTACTCACTGGTTAAAGGGCCAACAACTAATGTTGCGATGCGATACCTCTTATTCATTTATGAGGGTGTGACGCTCCTCCTAACAACCCTGAAGATTATTTTAATTTTGCTTAAACATTCGTAGATCACTTTGGTGTTGATGGGGTTCTAACAAACCCTCCAGGAAAATACTAATGAGCAACACACACGCACACAGAAACACCCACACACAGACACACGCCCACCCACACTCATACATATACACACACACACATGCACACGCACATGCACACGCACATGCACTCGCACACGCGCAGAAACATTCAGAGACGGGTAATATGTTGATGGGCACAGTGTAATGCTTAGGAAGGCATTCTGTGTTTCCAAACGTCTTTCGAAATCCTCGTAGGGTGCATATCAAACCAGTCACTGAACAAAAATTATATTTGCAGGCGCTTCTAATGATCAGTTACATCGTTGATGCATTGGCAAAGTTAATTAAAAAGAACGACTGGATGGATCCGAAAGCGGTGAATAAAGCCCTTGATAGGGTAAGCAGAACGCGTGGGATTATTTAATTTAACAAAATATTAGAGAGTGGTGCATATTGTTTCTTTCATTTCAGCTGCAAAAAGTCAAATACAGAATCGGTTATGACGAATTTTTTGTGAACATGACATACTTGAATACGCTTTACACTTTCGTGAGTAAAACTTACTCGACATTAAATTATGTAGCACTGTATCGTAAATTTTAAAAACTAAGGTTTGATACGTAAGTTCGTAACTTAGAAAAGCTATAACTACTTTTATTTTTGGAGGGGGGGGGGTTGTGTTTGCCAGATGTTCGCGCATTGGGACATGTATGAAATTACAATCTCTATGTGGTACCCATAACTTTGGAGAGGAAAGAGTGATATTCATAATGTATACGCTATAGGCATGAAGTCACTTCTTATTTAGTACCTTGAGTAGGAGGAGAGCCTAGAAAGTGCAAATTGATGGCTCGGTATCAAGGAAAAAATAAAATGGGGTGATAATTGTGATTAACGTAATATTCTAGGCGTGAAAAGAAAAATAAACGAAAGTTATCTGTGCTTTTTTGGAAGCGCTATCAGCAACCATAGCACAAGAAGAAATGAGAGAGGGGACGAGTGGAAATAAAATAATAGCAATTCGAAAAATATACAATCGATCACATATGCTAAACATAGCAAAGTAGCAGGACGGCTTTGACTAAAATAACAGGCAACTCGATCAAAACAAAACCAATGGGAAAGTATACATCTCGCAATACATCGACGGCGTGTTCGCAATCGTATTAGAGAGAGTTATTGCGCGCCAAAACTAGGCTAACACCTAAACTTCCGCCTTTTCCAGCTTTTTTTATCATAATAAGAGGGCCTTTTCGATACTTTTATATGAATACGATTGGCACCCTTAAACATTTAATGTTTGCCGATGAGATGATTTCTGCCCATTTTTGGTACCTATAAAAAAATTCTTCAGTTAAGTTGAAATCAAGCGCAATGAAGTAGTTTGCCGCTTCTGTTGACACTCACCAATTATTGAGTGCAGTGCAGGTTCGTGGTGTTACAAGTTGTGTGCATACAATTTTTATTTCGCGCAATGTGCTCTTCGTATATAGTCACATTTTCATGTTCTGGATGGGCTAGAAGGTAAATGTTTGGTAAATGCTGCTAGAAGGTAAATGTTTGCGATTTTAATCATTGCACTATTAATTATTAGATTATTCAGAGCATTTTCTTCTTTGCGTAGTTTGCTTTTGTGTCCTACAATGGATATCCGGCTCTATAGTTTGAGACAAGCCCCAGACAACCTAAAGCTGCCTCAGGCAGCTTTTTTGCAAGGTGTTCCGCTCCGTTGGCTTAAAAGTCACCAATTAACTTACCATAAAGATTATATGTAAATTCCACTCGTTTCGTTTGACTTAGTCATAAAAAGGAACATTTACAAGTATCCTTAAAAGATGACTACGTGTAGGAAAAGTATGATTTGTGAAAATATAACAAAATTACCTGAACTGAATAATTTTGTCATTCTTGATATTTTTATTTGGAGGGTCTTTTTGCCAGTTCCAGAGCTTGCACAAAGCTCCTAACATTTGACTTTTGGAAAACTTTTAGGAGCGTGTAACATACACACATAAATTGGTGTCTGATCATATATGGCTATAAAATGTCTAATCACATTTCCTCGCATTTCATGCGCCAATAGTTTTTTTATAATGTAATATTGAGTTCATACAAAGGTGTTTCTGAACTTTTTACAAGGTTGCCAGAGAGAATATAACGCACCAGACTCCATTTATAACAATACACAGCATGCTTCGTAGGAACCTTGAATTGAAAAGAATGCAAAGTCTTGGGAGTAATGAGGAAGAGTTTGAGTAAGTAACTACTTTTATAACCGTAAAATGCTAGACAGAAAAAAATGAATTGGGGTACATCTATATTGCTCTTTATGGCGATCTTCTTCTGACCCACTAAATTGAGCAATAGAGAGTGCCAGACTTGTAAAATCAAAACAGATTACGTCATAGGTTAGGTCACTGCTTTTTGTGAACCTTCTTTGCGTACAGAATAGCATTTTGGGTCACGGCTTCTCGAATACGAATCTGTCAATCTTAGCTGGATGCATTTTTGTGTTTTGATTATGCCAACATTGTCAAATAATGAGCCAATAAATTATATACGTGCGCGATTAACATTGACTTCGATATTCTTCTGAAGAGCGGTTTGAAAATGTTATATACCAATTAAAATCAAAATAAACAAAAATAAACACGCATTTTGAGGTTTTTTTTTCTTTTTTTTTTAGAACAACGTTATTTCACACAGGTGCAGATTAAATGGCGAATAACTTTAAAAGAAGATTTCTGTTACGAATTGATAAATGTACTAAATAAACACACGCAGAAATATAAGGAGGGTTAATTGAGGCGAAATATTGTGCACAAACACCATGTTTATTTAAAATTATATTTTCGTGCACTAAAATTGCATAGCCCTCGTGTTCTCCTGATTTTTTTTTTAATTGACTCATGTTCTATTTAGCATTTTTACTTTTCTTGTGGCGGAAGACAATGGGTATTTTTCGATCCATGAAAAAACTCTCCGGAGCACATGGCGTTCGTGTGTTACATTTCTGGCGCATTTGTTTTTGCTCCTCCTGGTAGCTATTCTTCCTTCAAATAAGCTCTGTAGAATATTAAATTTACAGAGTAAACAAGAAGAAACTTTAAATTTCAACACTTTTCGCCACAATGAACCGTAATTATTAAAAAATAGGAATAGTAAGAGCCAGGTAATTCATTAATAATAAAATCGTCGTACAGAATTAAAATTGGTATTTTGAATACCTTTGCCTTGATTGTGCATTAAAACTAACGCATCATTATTTCCTTCTCACTCTGCACTATCGTATCAAGTATATCTCCTCCCTCCATTACTTCACGGAAAGTACCGATTAAAGCCATAGTTCTTATGATATTGTTTGTATATGAATAAGGCTTATTGTAACATTCTTTCTGCCTGCTGTTTTCCGCTTCCAAAAAGCAGTAACACTTTTGTAAGTAAACGTTTTTGCTGTGAGAAAAAATAATTACCTCTCGCTCTTCTCACAAATAAGATTAATGTAACAAAATAATTGTATAGAACGCGGTAACTTGGTTTAATATGTTTGTGAGTATTACATTACAATGGAAGATTAGGTCGTAGACTTGGAATTCCTTTTTGTGTGCGAGGTCACTTATTTCGATGTAGTTAAATTATCTTTAATTCCAGGAACTGGATCATATGAATATTTTAGCTTCATGTCTTCATGTTCAATACGGTGCGTGGGCTGACAGATGTAAAGCTATCAATAAGCGATATATTACTTAAATAGGTATTAGCATTAACCCTACAAATCTGTCAACGCACCATTACCTTTCATCAGAGAAAGTTATTCAAAGTATCACAGAACTGCTTCACTTCATGAATGAAGTACAAAAACATTGTTGAAGGTTTTGTTCTGCAGTACATGAGGGGAAGAATAAAGCTGGGTATCTAGCCGTGTGAAAGGCCAAATGCACAACTCTCAACGTACTCTTTCGCTTTGCCCATTTTGTTAATCACGCTTTCATATAGTCGATCAACATTTTGTATTCAATGTGCAAATAAATATACTTCGTAGCCTTGGCAACGGGTATGAGCTGATATGAAACGTCTAACAGTACAATTAACTATCTAAGTAGTTGCTCATAGTGCTGTGAAAGTCACGCGTGGTAAGGGGGTCGCTTTGGTACGGATTCTGAGTGACGGGCTAATATTTGAAGGGAAAAAAACTGATATGGGAGTACAAAAAAAAAAGTGCGGGCCAGAGGAGTGGTCCTACTTCCCCTTTCTAATCCCGTCTGGTTTTTATGTTACACTCCGGCACCTGCAATTTTGGTAGCGCTGCGCGCGATTAGTGAGGCAAAGAACGCCTTTGTGCCTTGGTGTCCTACAACACCGGACTGAAGTTCTATAGGATACAGCAGGTCACGAAAATCAATGAGATCAAAGTGTGGTATGAGTGCGTCGCTCTCTTCAAGCAACAATTTAACTGCGCTCAGAATTTCAGCCAACAAATATTCAAATTATGCTGAGTACATGAAAATCAAACTGTTGCCGTCAATTTGCGATTTCGATATATCTATATTTTTTTTTAACTTCCAGTATAAAACCCTGGCATTTCAGTTGATGTGGTTTTATGCTTTACGTTTTGCAGCTATCGCTTTGGACCCTTCTTCACCCAGGGCTACTATGACTCAACTTCAAACACGCTAAGTATACAAACACGTTTAAACTATATAAAATATTGAACTTCATTTTCTCTCAATTTGAAATTGCACTTAGCTCGTGTTGTGCGGTACCTCAGGCGTCTGAATGCTATATTAACGAAAACGAACACATATGGGTGAAATGGGAAACAATTGGTTGGTTTGAATGCATCAGAGTGAAAGGAGAGTGTATCGGTCAATGTCTAGTGTTGGGCTTTACGTTTATTTATGAGCTGGTAACATACTATTTTTTTTTGCCGCAGTTTACCAGGCCGCTGCGATTCAAGGAATTTTCAGCGAAGAACATCTTCCAAAGTAATGTATTTTTGCTAATTATAACGTATGTAGTTTTTGAAAAATGTCCAAGCACACTCACACATTGTCTTTGTTGCACATCTCTCCTATTTAATTAGTAGTAAAACGGGATCGTCGACGGGCGGGCAGGTCAGCGCCGCATCAAAGATCAGTGCGGTGTCATGAGGCAGAATAGGCGCGTACGCACAAGGTAGGTTCGTGTGCGAGCGTGGTCGTCTAACATCTTCTACTGACTGCACACAGCCCCTGAAACAAATAACTCCACTAACGAATAAGGAGCAATGGCTGTGTGCAGTAAGCAGAAAGCCTATAGCCTCGTTTCATTGTGGGTCCCAGTGTAGTCAGAGGTCTGAAGACGTGCAAACATAGGAAGACATACAAAGACGCGAGTTCACGACACATTCAAAGTTCATGCTCAGTATACCCGACAATAGCACACACACAAATAAAGACAACGAACACCGTAACGCTGCGCTTTGAATACAGCTTTATTGACCCCTTCGACTCGTAGCGTGGACTGCGCTCTTGCTGAAAGTGAAACAAATTAAGTATACACCGTTCCAAGTAGGTCGATGCAGAAAAGGAAAAACACTCTCCAACCAGAGCGCTGCGCCAACACTCCACTTACCCTTTCCCTCGAAAGCTCGTCTGCTTCACGGAGTGGACTGTTAGAAAGCACGCGCACAGTGTACGGAGGCAAGTTGTTTCGACAATGTTAGGCGCCGCTTTGATATTATAGCGTGTTTTCGGGCTTGACATGGCCTATGCAAGAAAAGAATCGACCGGGCAGCACTGTGCTGTAATCGGTTGTACAAATAACCAAAAAAAAAAAAAAAACGTAAAATAAAAGCTGATTCAGTGTGCGAGACCCACGCTGTCAAAAAGGATGAATGTGGGTGCGGCATGTTTATGCTGCACCGGTTTCCCGCTGTTCCGAACCTACGACACCGGTGGCTGGCGAATTTAAACATGAAAGACTCCTTACCATCGAAGAGCAGTCGTGTGTGCTCCGACCGTTTCTTGGACGGCCGGCGAACTGCGGAGAACCCCGTGCCATTCCTTCGCCTGGGCTACGACCTAAAGGTAAGCGGAGGCCGGCTTAGACATAGAAAAAGAAAAGTTACGTGACTCCTGGTCTACTGATTTAATAGTACACGCCGCGACACAGTTTGCGCACAAATAATTCTCTCGCGAGGCGATTACAGAGAGGCACATCAATGTGCCAATATTGTGACAGTGAATTCCAAATCAGAAAAAAAAAAACGGATCCGTCGCACTTGCTATCTGTACTCGGTATTTATATATCAAGTCATATTGAAATTTGAGGTTTCTACTATTTAACCGCGCAGTTAGTTCAAATGTTCCCGGCGCCCCCAAGCTGCGACAACTCGAGTTCAGCGCAAATTCACATGCCGTAATTCGTGCCATCCTGGCTTCGTTCAATCCTCAATTTTACTAGCGATCCTCAATTTCCCTAGCGATGCCCAATTTCGCTAGCGATCGAAACGCCGAGTTCGGTTCGGGAGCGACGACTGCCCCAGAACCGCGTTAAAAATTACGCATAAAAAGATGCCAGGAAAGCAGGATGCACTTTTCCCCATGGCTGACATACCAATTAGGATAGTGCTTTCCTCCATGGAGGAAGACGATGAGCCGAGGGCGCCGAATACGGCAGCCGTGCCGGCAGAAGCAGCTGCGATCGGTGTGACTCGGTGAGCAGGGTAACAGTCCAGTAATGGCGGTCGGTCATTCGGGCGGGTTCAGATTCTCCCGAATGCCCGGATGAGGGTAGGCGGCGCTACACTTGTTAAAATGGCGCCGGCGAGAAAGCCTAACTTGGAACGGTGTATAGCAGACGAGGATGGCACATGAAAGTGCTTTGTGCGCACGCGTTGGTAATCGCTTATATCGCCGCGCAGCTGCGCGATGCGGTGCTGATGGGCCCGCCGGTCGACGCTGCTCCTATTGACTGTAAGGGCTGTCCCTTTGCATCGTTTATCACCCAGGCGAAACATGCTAAGTCGGCGAGCTAAGGACGCATGCGCAGCGTCTGATATACAGCACAACAGAGCTACGGCGCATACTCAGAAGACGTTCCACAGCCTAGCATATAAAGATGGCAGCGCGAAGAAGGTAATTTTGCAAAGGTCTACAGGCAGCAGAGTGAAAGCCCACGCTTTTACTCTGCCTCGCTGTAACTTGGCAAAGAGTGAACGCAACGCCCTGCATTGCGTTCCGACGGCTTCGATATGCCTTACGAGTACGAGCAAATTGCACACATACTGGGGCACAACGAAGTGAAAAGCGTGACACCTCTTCGCAGAAGAAGCGCATTCTGGCGATGCGTAAAGTCACGTACCTCACTCAGTTGTTACGATTGACCCGGAAGAGCCGTAGCTTCCGCCGTACTGGCATTTTATACGCCCACGAATTCCTGCCCTACCCAGCATTTCTTGCTTCAGACACAAGGCTAAGCGACGCAACCAAAGTAATAGCTCTCGTCTGAAAAATGCACCCGTTATATTCAGGCACACCCCATGTTTCTTCCTTCAGTCGCTAGATACTGTCTTGACCGGTTATAACGAAGTCAACGGGAATCGAAAATCGCTTCGCTATATCCGCTTCTTCGTTATATATGAGCTAATACAAATAACATGAAAAAAATATAACACGGGTTTTCATGGGCACGTGTGGATCAAACCGGCAGAAAGCAATCGAGGCTTCCCTGCACGCCTTCTCTGCTAGTTCGGAGCCTCTTCTCGCGAACTGCGAGAAGCTCCGATTGAAACAAAAGATCCTGCTACGTACCGACCGCGTCGACAGCTGGGACGGCCCCGCGGAGGACGTCGGCGGGGGAGGTCATTCTTCACGTTTATGCGCACTCCGTCGAGGATGGCACGCTTTTGATTCAAGAAGATTGATTTCGTGTACCCAGTCGAGGTGCCAGCGGTGCAGGGACTCTCCATCGTTGAGTGGCGATGATTCGCCGAATTGGTGCTTGAGCGAACTAGACTTTCCCGCAAGAGCGACCTCACCGACCAGACGCCGACACGGATCACAAAGAAAACAAAGAAGCGCGCACGGTACCGGGTTCGCATCTCAAGCTTGTTTGTCGTCCGCATAGAGCGCCTAGCTTTAAAAGATGCGGCAACTGCTCAATCGAGGTCATGTGGTTTGTAAGCCGCGTTTGCAAAACGAGCGTCAGGATGCAAGGAATCGAAACTTAAAAGCGCTCACCTTCTGCAAAACTGTCCGCCTCTCCGCCCAACTTTCTCACCAGACTGGCCACGCGACAATCAAATGCAGGCGTACTTACTGCACCCTCTCTTAAATATAGGCTCTCTCCGTCATCTCCGCCGGTACATTAGGGAGTTTTCGTAGATCGCGTTTTCCCCTCCGCTAAGCACTCCGCAACGAAGAAGTCGCTACTGCGTCTGCGCGCCGATAGCCTTGGCTGTAGAGCTCCCGGTATCGTAGCGGGTTGCGGAGAGCGTTGCGGGACGGCGAAAACGATCTACGAAAACTCCCTATTGTCTCTAGCTCTCCGAACGACCCTATCGGCATGCCACGTTGGCTTCTTCGGGTGCAATGCGGTAAAGCCGCTTCCCAGATAATAGGGAGTTTCCGTAGATCGCTTTCGTTGTCCCGCAAAGTTCTCCGCAACCAGCTACGCTAGCCGGAACTCTACAGTCAAAGCCATGGGCGCGCCGGCGCAGTAGCGCCTGCTTCGTTGCGGAGGGCTTAGCGGAGGAGGAAACGCGGTCTATGAAAACTCCCTAATAGCGAGTTTTAGCAGACCGTGTTTCCCACTCCGCTAAGCCCCTCCGCTACCCGGAACTCTACAGCCAAGACCATCGGCGCGAAGGCGCAGTGGCGGTTTCTTCTTAGCGGAGGGCTAGCGGAGGGGGAAACCCGGTCTACTAAAACTCCCTAATGAACTGGGAGCAGACGACGTTGCAGAGACTATCGCCGGTGGCCTTTCCGGCATCTTCTGCAGCCTGTTCTGGGTGGCTTCTTGGCGGCGGCAGCAAAGTGCGGCGGTCCGAGACTTAGTAAAGTTTTTGAATTTTATTCTTTTTTTCCTTTTTATTATCACAAAATTTTTCTTCGCTATACCCGCGGAAAGCGCTCATTTTCGTTCCCTAAAAAAAGACACAAATGCATTGAAAAAAGTGCATACGAGAATGGGGAATCTAGATGGCTTCGCAGTAGCCGCTATTTCGTTAGAACCGGTCTCGAGAGTAGCGCCAAACCAAGCAGCATTGCAGGTTCTCTATGTATTAGCTCGTCTCCGTAACATTGATGTCAGCCTGCTATGTATCGTTAAGAGGGCTCGTGTCTAAGAGTGTGCATAGTCTTGGGATCTTATGTGGGGAATAAAGATTTGTCATTTGAAGAACATGGAGTTGAAACTATTCTTGATCTCTACACTAGATAATTAGGAAACCTTTACCAAATCGAAATTAAAACGAATGGATGGGCAGGTTACCGGTAAAACTATATATTAATGCGAAAGCATAAACTGTCCCATGGAGCGCAGCCGGCGTTGGCTGTGACCGCGAAAAACAGGCATCTAAATAAACGGGAGGTAAAATGGCTGCGACCCGTTCTCATTAGCTCGACGCGACATTTCCGATGCTTCGTCACGGAAGTCGGCGGAGCGCTCAAGGTCCAAGAGGACGGGCCTCAGAAAAAAACAGAACGAATAGCAGAGCACCGCCACGGAAGGCGTGGAGCCGGCGGAGCTCGCCGCGCCTGCGCAGTGGGGGAGCATGATGTCACCGGGCGCGGTGCTTGTAGGAATCCGCTGCGAGTAGGAATGCTTCCGCATTCCTTCACGTAAGCAGACTTCAGTGCCGTCCTGTAATTTTGGTTATCGCCCCGTTCGATTTTCTGGTAGAAAAATCTAAACTCGCACACATAGGGTCTGGTCTGTCAATCTAGATTTGCAAAGGAGTCAAAATTAAATACCATAATGCGTTATTTTGCTCTAGTACCTCTTTACTACAAAAAAGCGAATGATGAGTTTTAGAAGGTATGTTCCCGGTGCTGTGAATCTGCAAAAGCTAGTGATTGTGGAGCACTCGTATACTTGTAAACTGTCGAGAGTAAAGACCTCTTGCCCGTTCTACTTTACGTGCGAGCGTTGCAGAAGCTTCATGAACATGTTCAGTGCTTTTAGTATCCCTAACAAGCACGTGCGCTCATGCAGTGCGAGTGACTTTGAGCTTCAGTGAGTGCTCGTCTTCTATCTAACACATGAAGTTAGACAAACTATACGGGAGAAGATTCAGTCGTTGCGCTTTATGCGGCTAATTTGAGAGCTAAACCCACGGGGACAACAGCAACATAAATTTTTTGTTTGCGTTTTTGACACAGCGCTAGGTCGACGTTGCCGTACGCTGTGCCGTCTTCCGGATGGCTAACATTCACGAGAGGCTTAAAAGTGGTCTTAAAAGCCCGTTTACACACTTGCTACTCCTCAAAGACCGAACAACCAACAGAAAGAAGGAAACTCTCCCTCAATTCCTCCTTTCCATTCGAGAAAAAGGGAGACGCTCCTCCTTTCTGCGTGAAGTAGCTCAGATACGCGCTCCTGCAGGGAAAGGTGGAAATAAGAGTGCGAGAAGGAGCGGAGAGAAGGAATCTGGGAACCGGTTTTCTGCCCGGCGGAATACGATTCTGCAGGTCGGCCTTTGAGACCGTGTTCCTAAAACCTCTCAAAATCTCTTACAATGACAGAACACACTGGCGCCATCTATCGGGTAGCTGTGGAATACTTCGCAGTTCCGTATTTTTCGTTTGTTATTCTTGCGCATCATTTTTTTATTTTTTTGCTTTATAAACATTTGTTACTTATATAACCGACCATTTTAAATACAGAACGTACATTTCATCAGATAAATACCGCAAAGCTTCACTTTACAGAAAGGCGGTTCTAGTATCACCCCATAGATGGCGCCAGCATGGCAGTGTGTTCAGTCGTCGTAAAAGATCTTAAGAGGTTTTAAAGCACACGGTCCTAATAAGGTGTCGCGAGAGTCTGAACGGGCTTTTAGCCTCTCAGGTCGTCAGCGCTCGCAAACATGTAAACCAACCTGCCCTCGAGATATCTTTGTGTGTGAAACTACATGCCTCTTCGACTGGCGAAGTGCAGTGCCCCAAACCCAAAAACGTACCTCCGTCTTCCTCAAAACAGCCAGTATTCTCCCTTGACTTGATCCGAGCGGCGAGTGTTCTCCTCATCCGAGTCCGCAGTCAGCTCGTGAGTCATGTTCCAAAAAATAGCTTGGCCACTGTTCGCATACTCCAATTCCCATCATTCACGGCTGTCGTTTATCTGTAGCTTTTGATTATCCCCGAAGGTTCACGATTATACTGTGGTTTCTAATAGAGGCATATACTCAAGAGCTATCCTTATTGCGAAACACGACTACACCGAACGTCATGTTCTAAAAATATGTAGGACTACGTTACTTCTCATTACAGATCCTATCTATATGGTGGACTTGGGTCAAAAATAGCCTACCAGCTTGCACGCGCCGTAGAAACAATGGGTATGATGAGTTTTGTTTCTGTGAATTTCGAGCAGCAAAACGTCATTTTTTGGTTCTGTTCTTGTTTGCGAGGTTTCACATTACTGGGTATTGACTGAGCACGGGGCCTAAATGTGTTTGTCGTAACAGAGAAATCATGAATTTAAGAGATGCCATTTGTGCATGAGCTCAGCATTACTTATCGCGTGTCACTGGTTAAGACAAATTCCTGCAAACTCGTCAAGCCAATTGGAAAGGTGCATAGTCTTGGTTGTCGAAAAGCACTCCAGGCTTCATATGTGTCTTAAGATGTACACAAAACATTCCATAATTTTTTTTAAGGTTTCGCAGCGAACGTTTTGGGGTGTACCGGAGTTACGCTTTCATTATTTAAGTTTGGTAATTGACAAAAAAAAGAACGTTGAAAAAATTTATCGTGATTAAAATAAGCGCCCTTATCAACGTGGATGCCAGGAATAACCGCAAGTTGAGGCCGGAGTTGGTCAACTCTGTCGGACTGTTGACTTCGATAAATTCGTTGACTGAACGACATATAATAAAGAAAGCTACCGAAAACAAAATTCCGCTCACTAATAGATAGTTTTGGAGTTTTGGAAGCAAGTTCTCTAGTATAAATTCTGAATAAAAAAAATAACGGGAAAATGGGTTGTCAGAATGAAGTTTAGCACGCTCATTTATCTTCGATTTACACCTTCGAAAAACCAGTTACGCTTTTGTTATTTCGGGACCCGAGATGTACTGTCCATCCGATAGAATGAACTTTCCTCACCGTATGGCTCCTGCGGAGTTGAGTGATTTCCATTGTTTTTAGAATTACGACATTTATTAAAGTGTGGAAATTAAAGTAACGTTTGAGAGATCTGTTCTATGTGCGCAAAATTAGTCAAAACGTGCGTAGAGCTGTTTCTTTTTTTGTATAAGCCTACGAATGAAACCGAAATCAACAGTATTGAACCCAAGTTGGCGCTGGAGACGGCAGTGCCATGTTGTATATAATATTATAGGGGCAGGACTTCAACGTTGCTCAGAGAAAAACAAGTGATTTAAGCATAATTCGGGTGAGCGACGGGACAAATAGACTCAAACATGAATCATGGTTACTAAAGGAGTAATATTTAGAGCTGCTCTCACCGTTCCTCTAAGCGTGCATCTGGAAGGAATGAGAGCAGTTAAGGGTCTGCCGCATCAATGTAATTTAAAGCATGAAACAAATATCTCGACATGAGATCACTGTTTCGTTATTTTTCTGCAAAATTAAAGTGAAACTATCGATTACTCCCGTGACGTGGCAACCTTGGTTGGTGCCTGGTTTTGCAGATATATTATTTAGTACTATACTAAACGCGCTTTCGTTGTCCCGTTAGAGTTAACTGAGTTCCGAAGTGCATGCCGTTTTGTGTCTATTGCTGAAAAAAAGAAACTTATAGGTTGCGATAATTTAAAAAAAAAGGCGGGCTATAAGTAAGAAGTGCCTTTTGTTCGTAATGTTATGTTGCAAAAAAGGAAAAAGCGCCTTCATAAACCGAAAACTACTGCGATCAATGAATGCGGAAAGCCACTTTCAGAATAAACTACACTGACAAAAGAAAAACAAAACAAATGCTAGTGTTAAAACCAAATGAAGCGCGGTTGAATATAGGCAAGACGTCGTCGCCGCCAACGATCCTATGGGAAACAAGGAAAACGTTTTACGACTGTAAAGCTTCGTAAGCATGTAGCAAGTCTAAGAACATTGAGGTCAAGGAAACTCATGTCAGCTGAGATCTCTCACTGAGTTAGAGGATTGCGCATTTTATACAAGTGTCCATCCAAGCAAAAAGGTGAACCACGTGAAAAGGTCTCATCTAGAAAAGCAGAATGTACAGTCTTTTCATCTGAATCGAAAACTCCCATCATGTTAACAGAGATCACGTCGTTTTCAAACAAACACTGCAGCTGCAATTTTATGCTACTGCAAGTGCTTACTACTAAAATGCTAAAACCCTGTCTGTTAGCAAAAACTACTGAGTGCATCAAGCAACGATGGAAGGGTAGAGCCATGTCAAGGTCCCCTTGATGCAGGATCTATCTATCTGCATCTTACAGTTATGTTCCTAAACTATAAAGTTCTAGACATGCGATTTTAGATTGAATATTGTGAAATGCCTTGGTCTTTGTAAAACGTTTGTATGCGATTTCCAGGAATTTAGCTGAATAAATTAATATGACAAGTTCGGATGGACACTCTTGAAGTTTAGCCTTCATTTACCAGGTTATAAACTAAAGAATCCGCCAAAAAAAAAAAAAAAACCTATCGGCAAACGTGGAAAATAATATAGAGTGAAAAAATAGTATGTAAATAAAGAGACTACAGAAATAGTTTCAACTAACCGAATTAAAGGACAGGTGAAAAGTGCAAACAATGGGATCTGGGTGAGATACAACGTCACCAGAATAAGGGAAAAACAAAATATAACAAAACATGCGCAATTTTCTTTTTGGGCAAATATATTCTGATTGTTAAAACTTTTTCAATACACTTAAATAACAATTTACGTACGACGCAGATAGATTTCCCGCTTGCCCCTTGTATTAGTTTTATTGAACTCTTCATTTATGAGCGCCCGACTTGTATTCTTGGGTTAGTGACTCTAATTTACACTTGACTTGCAGTGCTGTACAATATATTTCTTGTTTAAAAATGGCTTCTTTTTGATGAATTCGGCTTGACTGATTTTAGTTGATCTAATTAAAGTCTGTTTTGATAATGAATTTCAGATATATCAACTACTAATTCAGGTGTTCCAGGCAATGTGTACGTTTGGTCAGGAATCATGGTAAAAAATTACTTGAAGGCAGTGAACTGTCTCCAGAGAGCAAATCGAAAGGTAATCTCTGACTTTCTCGATAAACAAACATATGCTCCGAATAATATATTTAGAGGATCAATATGTATCTGACATTATTTTGTATTTGTCATTTTAATATCGATATCAACAGTCCAATGCTTTGCCTCCAACAGATTCATATATGAAAATATAAATAGTATTTATGCGTTAAAGTTATAAGCTTATTAGTCATACCAACGTAAAAACTCTAGCCTCGGCTTTCATTTAAACAAAAGTGCGCTGATGTTCTAATTCAGGCGTTCTGACATCTGAATTGAAGTATCTAACCTTGCGTCTTCTGTTATGTTTTTTAATTAAAGGCAAACTCGAGAAAGAAGCACTTGAATGATCTTTAATTTACATCTGGGACCAAATATATTAAAATAAATTCAGTGTGACGTTATAGTTACTCATAAAGGTAAAAGCGCTATATACCAACACCATCGGTTCTAAAAAAAAACAACAAAAAAAAAAACAATAGCATATGTACGGTGCGTGTAACGCGACTCCGACTGGTCTGTTTACCGCATCCCAAAAGTGTGATCCCCCGATTTACGCTCGATGACGTCTAGATGTGTCACGTTGTCGCCAGCCGCGATTCTGGCGGCGTAACAGCAGCGTTTGTGAATGTGGCAGATGCCTGTCCTGCTGCAGGTCGCTCTCCAGCTTTAGTAGCCATGACTTGGGACGGCGCGACAAAAGCGACACTCGAGTTCGCGAGTACATTTTGCCGGAACTTTTAGCACCCACCGCCAAGATCGCGACACCCGACAACATGACATGCCGACTCCTGGGTAGTCATTTGGTGCCAATTCGGGAGGGCTTTTGTCGTATGGGCGGAATGGGACGCTAAACAGATTCGTCGAAGATGTGTTCTAGTCAGCATAGTATAGATCCTTTTCAGGGCAAAAAGCAGCCACACTGGGCTGCAGTTTTCGACGTCCCACAGAATTTCCGGTTTATAAAGAAAAGTGCATTTACATATTTACAAGTTGAGTGGCACGCAGGCAACATCCACAGACCCTACCTTGTACTTGCCAAAAACACGGATGTGGGTACCAGTTAGACCCTGCTCCTATTAGCTATGAAAAACCGCGAACGTCATCGTCGCAGAAAATCATGCTCTCCAAGTGTCCACTGTTCATCCTCCAAGCGTCTCGCTATCTTCTCGCGCAATGTTAAAAGCATAAGGAACATGGGTCTAAAATGGCGACGCTGAATGTCGGCCTATATATCTACATTTCCACAAGACTTGGCGTGCTAGTATTATTCGCAGTTTCTCAAAGCGATTTGCGCGTGCGCCTTGGGGGAGGGACGCGCATCCGAAACACTCGAGATAAAAGAGTGCAGAGTGGGCGCGCAACTACGCAAGTGGTGAAAACATTCTCGTTTGTATCCGGGCAAGTACAGTTGTACTGTCTCGACAATGCCCTAACGTGACAACTTGTCCCTAGTGGGTAGCACTGCCCACCCATACGTCCAACCAGTGCTGACAGCGTCCGCTCATACGTCTGCGGTTAACATATCATCCTAAATTACCTGGGAACTCACGGCCTGGTGTCGAACAGACACTTCAGCAGCACAAAGCGCTTCGCACACTCGCGACACGGGACTCCTCTGAACGCGTACAGTGGGCTTTCATTCACCCGACGTTGTATGGTGACGACAGAAGCATAATATAGGAAAGGAGTGTCCGACGCAGGGCACAGGTTTCCAAGCACCCTGGGCACGAGTTCGGCGCAGGTGACCCGACTAATGCAGTACAAGGGAGCGACCCACAAACTTCGTCTCGTCTAAAAGATGGAGCACGCATTTTAGAACCAAGAATCACCTAAACGGTGGCAGGTACGAAATGCTCCTGCCACCACTGGATCGTGGTGCCGATATGGCCACAAGTTGTTTTCCTATCGCACAAAAAGGAGAGGATGAGAGGCAGTCATTCTTCGCGTCAAAATGGGAGGTAGGAGTGCGCCCTTTGCTACAAACCATAGTTTTGCGCATATTACTCTTAAAAAAAAAAAAGAAATGAAAGACGTTTACAATCCTCTGTAACGAAGAACTAGAGCGCAGCTCTTCAGGAGGAGGAGGGAAAGGTACGGAGAAAAGGGTGCGCCCCTCCTGCTCATCCGTACCCTCTCTTCCTCCTCTCCCGCTCGCCTCCCATTTAGCGGGAAATTTTTCTGCTAAATTTAGTGGAGACTTTTTTCCGCTCAACTCAGCGGGGATATTTTTCTGCTAAATTTAGCGGGGAAATATTTACGCTAAATTTAGCGGGGAAAGTTCCCGCTAAATTTAGTGAGGAAATTTTTTCGATAAATTTACCGGGTAAATTTACTCATAATGCAACGCGCGGTAACGTCACGCGTAACGTCACTGGCGACACTCGTGATGTCACACGTGACGTCACGTGTGACATGATCTTCGCAAATGTCACATAATGCACCGCGCGGTTTCGCCGACGCCAACGCCGCTCAAGTCGGAAACAAGCGTCTAAAAACTGCGCTCTAAAAAAAAAAAAAAAAAAAAAAAAAAAGTAAAGAAATTATTTTTTAAGGAATGTTTAAACACAGAAACGGACTGTACTTGACTCCTTGCCAGGTCGTATATTTCTTCCCAGGACAGAGGTGCTGCGCTATTTCTCCAAAAACGTACACCAAAAATACGTACAGATGAAGCAGAGGTAATACAAATAAAATTGTCCGAAAATAATCCAAACTGCAGCGCCTTACTTTTCTCGCGATTAAAGTGCGCCCAAAAAAGTGCGGCGTACATAGCGAAAATACACTCGACTGTCAAAAAGCTGTAAGAATCATGCGAAAACAAAGACTCGTCATCGTCATTAGCAGAGAGAGACAGTGTGCCCCGTCCGGAATGTGGGAACGCACGAACGAGCTCACTCTCGTAGATTTTACGATCTACGTGACAACGGGTCAATACTAGTTACAAAAAAAAAAAAAAAAAAGAAGATGGAAGGGCAAAGGGCTTCCATTCCGTACACCTCTAGTAACTGAGAAAGTGGCCGTGGGACTTTAACAAAGAGTTCGCTAGACAAACCCGTGTAGAAACTTTCAAGGAAATCTAAAAATGAACTAGAAATTCTAAATTTCACTAAAACACTGTAAATCAGACGGTGTTCTACCTGAGCAAAAAATTTAGCTTGATTGAGAGATTTGAAGGGGCCACTGAACTGCCGAGACGCGAAAAAGCCACGTGTCAGTACTAATGAAGATAATATGGTACGTCCTGGAACAGCGCAAATCTGAAAGCGGTGAAGTATCAAAGGCACAACGTCGCGGAGTCTCCTAAATAAAACTGTTGCAATAATTTCATAATCGGCGTTGAGTAATGTTAATGGGCCACCATACACAAGGCACAAATAACACTTCGACGTTCTTAGTGAGCACGGTCCCTCTACCTCGTTTTAAAAAGTCACCCATGCCTTTGGTTCTCGAAGTATGGATAACATTACCAAGAGCGTCACCCAGCACATCCCAAAATTTTGAATAAAATTCAGTGGGTAAACCATCTGGACCTAGTGCGGCACCGGTCTTCACGGAGAGAAAAGCTTCAGAGACCTCCGAGTGAGATCCTGGGCATGTAAGCCCTTCATTCACTTCAGCGTGGACGCCGGGAAGTTTTTCACAAAACTGTCGTACAACAGAAGCAAGACGACAGGAGTCACCGTCTTGTTCGGGTGTATAAAGACTAGAACAATGTGTCCTAAAAACGTTCTTGATCTCCTCCCGTCAAGAAGACTAGCGTCCGTCTAACAAAACAACGCACGATGCCCCCCCTGAGGTTTGACCTCTTGTGCCGGACACACGGAGATAACGCAACACTTCCGGGTAAGTCACGGGTTTACCCCTCAAAAACGAGGCACTTGCCGTTGGCGAGTAGTACCGGAGCAGGTGGCTGTACCGCGCACGCAGCACTTCAAGATACTCCTGCTTAAGCATGGCACCTGAACCTCCGCGCTGTACAATGTGTATGCGCATGATGACATTGTTCAGCAGCGCAGCCTGCTACACCTTTCGGCGCTTTCCGGTCAGAGCCAGCACGGACTGCCAGGCTGCTTTCAATCCGTCCTACTGGGGGGTGTCAAGGAACAGTAGAGATATTTCCGTGCAATCGTTTCGCGCTGCTCGGTTACAGCCGCGGTCTCGCGCAGAAGGCTCACGTCTAGGCGTGAGAAATCGCTACATCCGGATTGAAGCTTTGGAACCGCCAGGTGACACAGTGAGTGTGCTGTGATCCGTAATATTGTAACGAATGAACAGGCGAGGAAACAAAGAATAACTGGGGAAACTGAAACGTTTAATGGGGGCGAACTTGTGCCCAAAAATAAAAAGGAAACAAAAGATAACAGCAGAGCGTTGCGGGCGTCGAAGTCGGCGAAAGGGCACAGTCGACCGCTGGGGCGAAACTTACCCCGGCTTGCCACACGGAGCCCCGTTTGTACCCGCGTGGGCTTCTGGAATATGCAGCGTAGAAGGTTCGGTGTGTAGAACATTCTAACCTCGAATCAGCCAAAATGGTTCTCGAATTTACCAGAACATCACATTACAGCATCATCAAAAATGCGTAGACGCGGCCAGGAATCGAACCCTGGCCTTCTGCGTAGAAGGCAACAGCGATGACCGTTAGGCCACGGGCGCGCTGCCTACTCGGTCAGCTGCCGACCGCGGAAATATTCCCCCCTATAAAAAAGTGCATCGTCCCAATGCAACACAAAACAAAACAAACAAAAAAGAAATCCACAACTAAAGGACACCAGAATCGCGAGTCACAGTTCACAGTTCACAGTTCACTCGTCGACGCGGGTGGAAAGTTCTATCGTTCGTAATACCGCTTCAGCCGAACGACGTGCACCACCTTGTGTCGCGGCTAACGTCTTGTTGATGGTTGTGTTCCGTCGGGAAGAACGTCGTAGTTCAGGTCTTCGAGGCGTCGGATGATCTTGTAAGGCCCAAAGTAGCGCTTCAGCAGTTTTTCGCTGAGAC